GACTGGCGCTGTAAATGAAAGACCCTGAAGAAGAGAGGTATGGTCGCCCCAATCCTCAAAAAGCGACACGTCAGCTCGAATGCCCGAAGAAAAGCAATCGAGTTGGGGTGAAGTTGCGAGGGGGCCAGCTCCAAATGACTAAAGACCCCGACCTAAAAATCACTAAAGGGGAGCTTCAGGCCGAGGTCCTTAAACGCGATCTCATACATGGGAAACCCGTACTCGGAGAACTCCGAGCAGATCCGCGCGTTAAGAGACGGTCTGGTGACGACAAAATTTTTCTGGAAGCCCGACTAACTATCGCCCTGCTCGACGATATTATACGCGCTCCGGCTGCGCCGACTATAAGCAGAAGCAATCCTTCTGGGCTCGGCGCCCACCCACTCTATTAAAGGATCATCAATGGTATCGATTAGAGTCACGTTTTCCTCGGCGCTTTGGTCTTACACCTCGTTGCGCCCCGAGGAACACGGTTCATCAGCCATTTTACCTGCAAAGCACAGGAAACCGGTCAGTTTAGGAGCAAATCCATACGCTCGCCATAAATGACGGGAAGAAGGGAACAACAAGCCGAGTCATACTCCACACACGATTAAAACGTCAAGGATTCGAACAAGAGTCTGGTGTCACCTCCTCGACGCCACGATGCCACGACGAGTCGTCCTACATACTGCCTAAATGGGCCAACATTCCGGCCAGTCACGAGTACGTCGACCTAAGCTACGGATATGACGAGCAATATCATGAATCCTAAACCTAGAACTATGAGTTTACTGGATAATATCATGAGTTAGGCGCCCTGAATCATGAAGATCCCGGGCAGCATTGTGAGTCACGTGCCTAAACTGTACGTACACCGGGAACAAACATGTATTCACCGGGCATAAACATGAATATTCCGGGAAAGAATACGAATGTACCGGGGCTAATCCCAGACGCGGATTTTCTAACATGCAAATAATGGAAAAAATCACCTACCACAGCGAAAAACATGAGGGATGAAATGCTTACTTGGAAATCAGGAAAGATGTACGGCGGCAGAGAAGAAAATCGACGGCGGAAAGCACGGTGGTCCTATGAAAGTCTGGAAAAACAGCAGCGGCAAAGGTAGAGGAAGGAGGAGAAGCGCGAAGAGGAAAAACATATTGTGGGACCCAAGGATCCTATTTATAGTGATGACGTGGAATACGAAACGTCACCCCGGGAAACCACGAATTTCCCCTCCTCGACGCATAGCTCCTCTAGGCAATGATGGCTCTATCTTCAATAGGGTGGCGTCACGGTTCCCAAGGTTTGCCTCGTATACTCAACGAACACAGTCTGCCAAGAGTCCCCCGAGCACGCCTCAAAAGAAATTATCTCACGAACGCGACACAGGAGAAACTCCTCGAGCAACCACGGGGAACCAAAAATCATGGTCGAGCATGAGACCCCGTGACAAAGGCGAGCTAAGATCAAGTCATAACTCCTGCTCCAAGAGCCACGACTTAGGGGGCTCCTGTTCTGGACTGGGCCCGGGTTGGCCCAAGAACAAGAATGAAGGCCCAATCCAAACAGCCCTACAAGGAGCGCGTCGACCAAAAGCTACAGTCGTGCCCGTCGCTGCCTGCGAACACGACGTCCTCGACCACATACAATCCAGCTCGAGTCTAGCTCGAGCACCCTCCTCGTAGGGCAGACTATGACCGTTACCCCATCACCTGACTCCGGAAAGACCGCGTCCTCGTCCGTCCGTACTTCTCGCTGAGCATCACCAGGGAGGGGACCACGTGCGGGTCCCCACTACACACGTAGAACCTGGCGGTTCCTCTATTGGGCCAGTCCTGGACGACCCAATAAAGGGACCTTGGCCCCGCGTTAGGGGCTATAAATATCCTTTATTCCTAGAGGGTCAAGTATTCATTCTCTTACCCATATACACACTTTTTGCCTGCTCGTACTACCACTCACTTTAGCATCGGAGTGCCTTGCAGGTACCCCCCCCATCTCGTTCAACTTCAGCTCGGAGCCAGTCGTGACGGTTCAAGTCTGATCCAGTAAGATCAGTTATTATAGAGCTGAACAAGAACAAAATGTTTTAGTAAGTCAAGAAACAATAACGACAACAAACTTCATATCGTTTGAGATACAATGAGAAGAAATATAAGAAGTATGAAGTTGTTGTGTAAGCTTATTCCTCCTTATATTTCTTTTTCGCGACTTCACAAACTAGATGAACTTCATAATTGATTCATGTTCCACGATTAATTTCAATAAAACGTGCATCCTATAAATTTATAATATATCTTTTTCATTGCTCACAAATTTATAATATCTGGTTCTATTGTATGATGTTATTTGAGTTTATTATATTCTATGTAGATTGTTTGGTTCACTAACCCTCATTTAAAATACATTCATTTAAATTGATATAGATACTTATAATCTTTAAATTAAATTGTATTTGAAAATCAACTTATATCAACCATTGTTTCCGAATTACATGTATCTCATCATTCATTTCATGTTCTTTTACATATAGATTATGGTATAATGACTTGGATACTTAGATGATTTATTGTCTTCGATTATAATTAAATTTCATTAACTAAAATTTACTGGATAATCTGCCTCATCATTAACGATAATGATCGTAAAGATTACAATTATAAAAATTGCGATGATAAGTGATGATGATGAGGCAGATATCCAATGTCTTGTTGTTATGGAGATTTAACTATAATCGAAGATAACAATGTATCGAAGGAGTTAGACCAATAAACCACAATATATATGTAAAAGAGCATGAAATGCACGATGTAACGCACGCAATTAGAAAAACAATGGTTTAATTAAGTTAGTTTTCAAGAATAGTTTAATTTTCAAATTATAGACTTCTTCATCAATTTGAAAGCTTGCATTTCTTTAGTGAGGTGTGTAACACCCCGAATTCTAGATTAATTTTTATTTAATTAATTTAGTGTGAATATATAAGCCACTGTGAAGTATTTGATATATGTATGATATTTTAGTGTTTTTTTGTGAGTCCTCCTGATAATTTGAGATGTTTAGATGAATATGAAGTATACTATGATGTCAAGATGAATATGATGTTTAAAATGATGATTTGTGTGATTTAGGATGGATAATAATAGATGTTTAGAATTTAAATAATTAGTTGGAATTATTTAGATTTAATAGTAATTATTTAGAATTGTTTGGATTAAATAAATGGGATGGCGGTGTAGAGAAAATAAGGGCAAAGTGGTCATTTAGAAAGAATAAGTGAGGACAATAGTGAAAGACCATATTATGGGTCCAAGGGATAAGTTTGGTATAAGGAAGGTTTGGGAGTTGGAACGATCATTCTGTGCGATCATAAGAATTGGAAAAACGCAGTGGAGAAAGAAATCTATGGCACAAAGAGGCAAAGAGGAATTGTAGAACGAAAGAAGAATCAGAAGCTAGCAATAATCTTAAGGTAAGGGGAGTTTTATCTTGATTATTATAATTGATTTAAGGTATAGATAATTGTAGGTTTGTGTTAGGTTTTGGTTGTGATGAATATGAGATGATTTGATGAAATAGATGGTGTTTTGTAGCCTTAGATTGTAAAAAATTGTTCCTATAATGTAGAATATATTGGATTGTGTCATACCCCAAATTTACCTTACCCTTGTCTTATATTTGAGTTTCTGATTCAATATTTGAGTTTCTGATTCAATAAAACGCACTATCTAATTCGTATTTGTATGAGTGGTGTTTAAAGACAAAGGGGTTGTGTTGAGAAAAAATAGACCATCAATATCTGATGGCCCCTTAGGTTTCTAGAGGTCTATTACAAAAGAGGGGGTATTTGTTTTAAAGGGATGTGAACCAAACACTTTTTTAAGGCCCATTAGATTTTTTTGTAAGGCCTGCTTCAAATTTAAAAGAAGGCTAGAATTTGTTTGGATCAGAGGCCCATTGAAATCTCATTTTTTTGGTGTACAAAAACAATTCCTTTTTTTAGGCCCGATAGCAAGGCCCTTGTTTTCTATTTTTATTAAGCATTGCTATTCTTTCTATACTTAATTTTATTAATTATCATTATTATCTTCATAATTGATTATTATTAGTATTATTATTTTAGCATTAACATTATTATTACTATTATTTTTTCTTACTGTTATTAACTTTATTATTTTTAAATTAAAACATGATATTAAAAAAAACTTAATTAAAAAATGTGTTGTTCATGTTTTAATAAATAAAAGTGTTGATGAAGAGGTTTTGCTTTTGTCCTCAGTCCATTTCCAAACTCGGAATTCAGGCCCAAACATTACTGGCTCAATAAAAACAAAAACAAAGCGCATGACCCAATTCAATAAGGAACACTTGTTGTATTTTTATAACAAGTACTGTATGAATAAAAAAGGAACACAGGTTTTTTGCTGTATAAATAGTAAGTAATAAACACATATCCGTGCATTCACTTCCATACAGAAACAGAAAAGCAAATCAGTATTAAATCTAGAAACAAAATCAATTACAGAAACAGAAACATTTCTACAAAGTTCCTAAATTACAAACAAAAGGTTCAAAAAATTTCCTAAGACATAAAACCCAATCAATTCTAAGAATTAATTTACAGACACATTTCATTGTTTCCAAAACCAATTTACAGATAAATTTATCTACTACCTAATTTACAACACCTAATAGCTATAAAATCAAAACAAAATGGGAGGAAAAGGGACGGACCAAAATAGTACAGAGAGAGAATTACAGAAAAATATCACAAACCTCTAAATCTTTTTCCAATCTAAGTTCAAAGCAGGAACAATTTGTAACTCCATCTCAGACCAATTCATCAAAACTATATCCTGCAAATTAATCAAAAAAATTTATCCAGCTTAGGCGAACACACCATTTCCTTTTGAATCATAACAAAAACATGTAAATATTCACAGAAATTAACATTCACTAACACCACCATCATTGTTTGTTGTGTGTTTGCAGTATTTTGTTTTACAGGAAAAATGCAAGGTAGAAGGAAACAACTCGCGAGGTCACTCTTCGCCTCTATACGCTGTTGATAGATCTCTCAACGCATCAACGAAGCACCGCTCCATCCGACCTCCATTACTGGCCTCCCTGTGTGCAACCTCCAGACCCTTTGCATCTCGCCACTGTCAAACTACATCCACGCACGGCCCACCGTCATTCCGCTCGATGCAACCATACATCTGTCATTGATCTCCAGGACCGTGAATCGTGGCTCGATCCGCCGTTCTCGTCCCACACCCCGTCGCGAGACAAATCCTTCCGCAGAACTCACTGTGAGGCCGTCCTCCACACCGACCGCTCGAACGCCTTCGATTCCCCTGTTCCAGCTGCAAACCGCCACCATATAGCAGCTCCGGCCACGCCTCTTCCTAGATCCACCACCGAGAAAGTATTTGTTTACGGTGTCTCAGAGAGAGACTGAATCTGAGACATTCTTGCTTGCATTCTTTTCCTATTTTTGTTTTAAAGAAATTAATTGCCACATGTCTCTATTAATTTGTTACAGTTTATTTTGGGCATTTGAAATGTCAATGCACAATTTTTTACCATGAATAGTTGAACGCAGCCCCACACGAATCCTGGTGCATATTAGGTCTTTTCCCATTTTTTTTTAATTTTAATTTTTAGTTTATTATTATGATAATTAATTGGGGTTCTATTTCGGATAGGCCCAATTGCATCTAATAACAACACCCCCTAATCCCCTTTGCAACCTCTAGTCCACTTGTTTATTTCAATTTTTTCTACTTAGTTGTTTAATTTAGGTTTCTGTATTATGTTTTTAGTCTAATCCATTTAGTTTAATTAATTCATTTATTTTTTTGGTTCTTATTTAGATTTCTTAAACTACTTATTTTTAGTTAAATCAATTTTGTTATTAATAGAAAATTTAAAAACTTGTACATAATTTAAAATTCAAAAATTAAACCATTTCATAATAATAGGATGTCAACCTTCAAGTAATTAAATCGGTCGACACATCATCTATCGGTTTATTATTCGAACATCCAAATATTAAAACCCGCTTGATTCACTAAATTATTACCTCCGCAAGCGATACGTGGCCAATATCTGGCCACATGATGAGGAGGCTATATCAGACTCATTTTCTCTACGTATAAAAAATACACAAACAAACATCAAACTATTTTTCATAATAAATTAATTCAACATTACTTTTTGAAAAAGGAATACGAATGTATTTAAGTTTACTGCGTACTTGGTCTAACAAACTCCGCTTATTCATACTCTTAGACCACATATGCGGGAAATTCAAAATATATTTCGCAATCCATTAAAAACATAAACCAAACACCGCAACTAAAATTCAAACCCTTTTCCCGCTAACTAGAATTCAAACCCCTTTTTCCCCAATAATTATATAAAACCCTGTTTCCTAAAAAATGTGCTTCTAAATCTAGTGTCCTTGTGAACAAGGTAGATAAGGGGTGCCTAACACCTTTCCCTCGTATAGAACCGAGTCCAAATCTAGAATCTATGAACTTTAGGGTTATTCCTTTATACTCTCTTCCATTAGGATAAAAATTAAGGGTGATGACTCTGATTAAAAAACCAGTTACAACAGTTGGCGACTCTGTTGGGGACTCAACCCTAGGTTTAGAAGCTTTCCTTTAGGTTTTAGGGTTTTGCTTATATTTTTGGTTTTTCTTTATTTTCACTTTATTTTTCTATTTCTTGCTTATTTCTTATTATTATTCATTATATTTATTTATCTGTAGTGGGATCTAATTTTAGCAATTTTTTTTTAAAAACCCTTAGAGAGAAGGTTCGTCTATTAGCCAAGGGGTTACATCAAGCCTTTGAGTTTATGTGATGACTTCGCCTAGAGTCGGTGGAGTTCTGCAAAAGGAATACCTCTCGAGAGACACCCTCTTGGGAAGTAGGACTTTGGAATGATACCTATGACTCTTTGTATGACCTTTAAACCAAAGACTCGTGATGAGACCTTTCATGACCTAGAGACGAAAGTTTCGGTCTGTCAAGAGACTCCACTTAAAGGAGGCCCTTATACCTTCCCCTCTAGCATTATTCATGACACCCTTAAGGAAACCACCTTATGGGGAGGGTAGAATATTCGTAGGCCAATACTAAGAACCTACCTTCTAAGGATACCTTTCACAAATCCCACTACAATATGCGAACCTGCAAGGGTTATCCCTTCATCCACTACTATCCTTAGCCCATAGGGCTTCCATCTATATCACCATCCTTATCCTATACGAACTCTTCATTGGCCATAATCCGTAAGGTATTCCTACATGTCTCAATCTCTAAGACAATGTAGGAAATCATCAAATCTATGTCTATTATCATCTTCATCCGTAAGGAGTCCCTGTCTGTCTCAATTTCTGAGTCAGAGTAGGATATCATCTTCAAACCTATATAGGATACCCCTACGTCTACCCTCATATTATGTCCATGTCGCATTTCATCTCCATAAATTTTTTTAGCATACCCTTAAAGCCAAAAATATTTTTGCATACATTTGCATGCCATGCATTTCCACCTTTTCCCTTGGTCGCTATCAATCCAGCTAACAAATTTCCCAATGTTCAATAGCAAATTCCAAGCTTTTCAATAAAATTTTAGATTGGTGAAGGAAAGGTCAAACGTTGGAGATTCAAAGGAGCTTGGTCCTACAAATCTTATTGGAGAGAGAAGGCATCCCTTCACCATGATAACTACAGGCCTACACAACGCCTCAAATGCCACTATCATTGATGATTCCTTTACATCAAGATCAACTTCCCTATCAATGGATTTGGTATGTGTTGGCTCCCAAATTCGACACTTACTATATTTGGTCTTTTAGACCAAAAAACTGGAATGAACCAAGTCAAGAAGAATGTTTCGACGTATGGAATAACCTAGGAAAAAGATCTAAGTTATATTTGAACCTTCGACCAGGGCTCACTTTCAGGTCTTTTCGACTGAAGAGGACTTATGTCCTTCGACTGAGAGAAAATATCCTCGCTTAGACACATGATACGAGGGATATTTGAATTTTGAATTATTGGAGGGAAAAGCAGTTTCGCCAGCGGCTAAGAAGAAGCAACGTGGCTGAAAGCCATAGGTCGAGGGACATGCAGAAGACATTTGTCTTCATCTTAGCGCAGAATGATCCCTCGACGGTTACTTAGTTTTTAGTATAAATTAGGAAACTTGTGTAGTTTTTTAGGGTGTTCAACCTATTGTACTAGTCACTCAAACATTATCCAAGTAACCGCTGAGTGAGAAAGGATAAAACTGAGAAATGTACGTTGGAAACACCTATTTTTATTAATGAAAGTCTTTTACATTGCTTTAATATTATCTTGCAAAGTTATCTTCCTTGCTTCTTTACCTGCATTTCTACATTTCTGTCTACTTTTCCAAAATCTCAAACATCTTTTCTCTGGGTCGAACATGCGTTCTTCCTGATTATCTGTCTGACATAAAAATTAGCATATGTTCTGGGATTAATCTGATTGATCCCGTAAGTAAACCAAAAAGAACTTTCCTTTTTGGAGATCAGCGGTTGTTTACCAAAAACAACGGTAAACAGTATGCCCAATAAAAGTCAAGGGTCACCCCATGCTCTGATAAGTCCAAAAACTACGAAGCATCTTTTGAAGTCAATAGATCAATGAGAAGGCTTATCTCTAGATCATTAGGCCTTTATCATTTAAAATTGTAATTTCTTTCTTGCTAAGTTTTATTTGTTATAAACTTTGTACTTTTTGGTCATGTAATTCTAATAAAATAAGCATGCATATTTTTGAAATTGATTCATTCCACGAATAATCAATGACTTTCCATTCTCGCTCTTCTTTTCCATTTTCAAATTGACAAACTCTGATGGAGAATGATGAAAATACAAAATAATAGAATTTTGCCGACGTATGCTTTTTAATAGTAAGGCTTAGATGATGATGTAAGGCATTGTTTCACTTCCAATTTAGTTGAGATATAAGGAGTTAATTCGTAGTTAACCCCCTCGAGCCAAAAGTCAGAGTTCTTTCTATTCTCAAAAAAAACCTTAATCTTAACCAGGGGCATGGTAAATTTCAATTAATTCGATGATGCATTCAAATCCTAGGAGAATTGAAACAATCTAAGCAAAGGTTCAAGCATATCTCTTTCCTTCATACATCATCGAGAGAACAATCTAAGCAAAGGTTCAAGCATATCTCTTTCCTTGATACATCATTGAGAAAACAACCTAAGCATAGATTCAAGCGCATCATTTTCCCCGCGTTCGTCATTTAAGATTGAGGAATCAATAAAAACAAAGTCCACGACATCTTCCTTCCTCAATCAAAATCGAAGAAACGATGAAGACCAAGCTTACAACAATCAACATCGCAGTCAGAAATTTTCAAAACCAAAAGAGAAAAAAGGAAATTAAAAAATATAGAGAAAGCCCTCTAAGTTAGAGCAAATCAAAACTTGACTTAGGAAAAAAATTAGGGCATCCCGATGGATAAAAAAAAATTCAAAAATTTTTTTTCTAAAAAAAATCAGTCCATGCAAAAATAAGGGATTAAAAAATAATAAATTGGAGAACAATCTTATGACTGCCACCTCAAGAATCATCATGGCTTCTCATCAACGCTTGAATCTTATCAATGCTTGGATCTTATCGATACTTTTTATGGGTGCTTGGATCATTATCTACGCTCCCCGTCATCTGCGTGACTACAAGTTTCTCTTGGGGATTAAATGTATCTGTTGGATTAATTGAACTTAGGATTGGAGAAAATCAAGTAGAATGGGGTGGGATAAATAAATTTTGAGCCTTATATCTTTTGTTTCTTAAACCATGAACTATGGCCACGTTACAACCTTTAAAAGTCCTAATTGAAGCTAGGTTCACTATGAAAGCATACTCAGCAAGATTTGTGTTAAAACTGACTCCTGTGTTTGTTAAAATTATTAATCACTTCGCTTCTTCGAATATCTGTTCCTAATCATCCATTTCTTTTTAATAATCAAACTTAGATTTCAAGAACTTGCATGTGCATCTAATGGAATTACTTTTTCAAAATATACAATCTTATCTACGAATCAATACTTAGCATTAAAGAGATTTCAAAAAGGTATGATCAAAGGAAAAATTTCCAAGAAGCCTCTAACTAGGGGGAAAAGCATCTAAGGGGATCCCTATAAACAGGGGAAAATATTAATGATCATAGGGGTATATCACATGAATATATTGTTAACAAGGGGTGATCATTCCGAAATTTGATCAATTTGGATCAAATTTCAAAGAACGATTCAACAAGGGGCATATCTTTCAAAGGGGCATTCCTTAATCAAGTCATACCACAATAGGGTATGACTCGATTTCCTCATTTTAACAAACCTCTCAAGACTTTGAAGCGGGGGTAATCTTCCAAGATCCAAATGTTGGGGCAGTATGTACCAAGTTCATCCTACTGCAGGTAGGGTCCAAATTCTTCAAGCAACTTCGAGTACAAAATTTTCAAGCTTCGAATACTTGGGGAAACATTTGTCAAGTTCATGGCAAGGTCTAAGTTCTCTCTGAAGGCACTTTTTCCAGATCTTGGAGATTGAGGGGCATGTCTTTCAAAATTCCAATGTTAGGGTAAACTACCGCAAGGCTCGAGCAAAAGAGTTGATTTAAAATGGTTCATCAAAGCCAAGCATTTTTAAAGATTCTTTTAATCAAGGACATAATTGAAAATAGTGGGGTCATTCACATTATAATCAAACTGTTTCCAAGCTCATCTCCTCGAAGACCCTACCAAAAAATTAGGGAAAAACAGTCCATACAAAACCAAGCTCTCTTCATACATTCACAATGCTCCAGGGGACCTCTCTTCTACGTCAGCAATCTTCGAGTTTGAAACAAGTATCAGGGAATCATGCAAGCACAACACTCAACCATCATGTGACAAGCAACCTTGTTTCATAACCAACCCTCTATGCTTTAATCATCCACAACCCATCACTGGGGAACCATCCAAAAGCATTCAAATCTTAATCATAAAGTAGAAGGCTGCATAAATCATGCATTAGGGTTTCCTCGATCCAGAATCAAGCTACTTATCGTCTCATCCATCTAACTAAATCCGACAACATGGGTCGAGCATACCTCAAAAAGCCTAACTATGCATCCGTATTTCAAATTCCAACATCTATTGAAGAATATCAAAATCATCACATTTCATGCATCAATCAATCATCACATTTCATGCGTCAATCAATCATTACATTTCATGCATCAATCAAATTTTCGCGCATAGCATGAAACCTCGTTTTTATGTAAAGGAAATCATCATCATCAATCAAGCTATCAATTCCATGTTGAATCTCGACAGTAGATTCCCATGTTTGATTACGACAGTTGATTATCTAGAAGACCTCGGCAGAAGGTATTTCAACAAAATCTCGACAAAAGATTCCCCTGGTTGATCATGACAGTTGATTATCCAGAAGACCTCGGCAGAGGGTATTCCAATTGAATCTCGATAGTAGATTCACCTAGTTGATCATGGCAATTGATTATCTGGAAGACCTCGACATAAGGTAATTCATAAATGAATCTCGGTAGTTGATTCCCCTGGTCGATCACTATAGTTGATTTTCCAGAAGACCTCGATAGAAGGTAGTTCTCAATAGAATCTCGGCAGTAGATTCCCCTAGTTAATCACGACAATTGATTATACAGAATACCTTGACAGATGGTAACTCAAATTGAAACTCGACATTACATTCTCCTGGTTGATCACGACAGTTGATTATCTAGAAGACCTCGGCAGCAGGTAACTCAAATTGAATCTTGGCAGTAGATTCTCCTGGTTGATCACGACATTTGATTATCCGAAAGACCTCGGCAGCAGGTAACTCAAATTGAATCTCGACAGTAGATTCTCCTGGTTGATCATGACAATTGATTATTCGGAAGACCACGACAGAAGGTAGATCATAATTGAATCTCGACAATAGATTCTCTTGGTTAATCACAGCAGTTGATTATCTGGAAGACCTCGACAGAAGGTAGTTCATGATTGAATCTCGGAAGTAGATTCTCCTAGTTGATCACGGCAGTTGATTACCCAGAAGACCTCGGCAAAAGGTAGCTCAAAATTGAATCTCGACAATATATTCTCCTGGTTAATCACGACAGTTGATTATCCGGAAGACCTCGGCAGAAGGTAGTTCACGATTGAATCTCGGTAGTAGATTCTCTTGGTTGATCATGACAGTTGATTATCTAGAAGACCTCGACAGAAGGTCGTTCACAATTGAATCTCGGCAGTAGATTCTCCTGGTTGATCACGATAGTTGATTATCCGGAAGATCTCGATAGAAGGTATTGCAATTGAATCTTGGCAGTAGATTCTCCTAGTTAATTATGACAGTTGATTTTCCAGAAGACCTCGGCAGCAGGTAGTTCTCAGTAGAATCTCGATAGTAGATTTCTTGGAAGTCTCAGCAGTAGATTTCCCGTTAAGAGCCTCACATTAGGCATATACATCATGAATGACATCTTTCAAAATTCGAACTTTCTTGGGGTTCATCTTTAGCAGGCTTATCTGTACGAACTACATAGTTCAATCTTTAAAGCAGAATTTTGGGGTTCATTTTTTTCATGTTGATAATGGTTGAGACGACACGACCAATATCATCATGAATTTGGGGTTCATTTTCTTCATGTTGATAATGGTTGAGACGACATAACCAATATCATCATGGATTTGGGGTTTATTTTCTTCATGTTGATAATGGTTGAGACGACACGACCTATATCATCATGAATTTGGGGTTTATTTTCTTCATGTTAATAATGGTTGAGACGACACGACCAATATCATCATGAATTTGGGGTTTATTTTTTTCATGTTGATAATAGTTGAGACGACTTGACTAATATTATCATGAGTTTGGGGTTTATTTTCTTCATGTTGATGGTTATGGTTGAGACAACACAACTAACCTCATCAATGAATTTTGGATTCCATCGCTTCAAATCTAGTACATTTTACTTGGTTATCGAATCTGGGTTAAGGGCTGACACAACCAACATCGTCATTCCAAGTTCCAAATATCTGGTTTCAAGCTGGTTTCAATTATCTATCCCCTAGGTTGCGATAGATATATGAATCTTCAAGGTTATATTATTCATCCCCTAGGTTGCGATGGATAACGAAGCCCACCCCTGTTGTCTTTTATCCCCTAGGTTGTGATAAACACACAAGTTCATCCTCGTATTGTTTACCCCCTAGGTTGCAGTAAACATAGTGAAATTTGCATAATCCATTGCATCAGTCTCCATGCAGCAACGAGTTATCAAACTTTGTTTTATTCGTCTCCTAGGTTGTGATGAATATACAAAATCTACGTCACAAACTTACTATATTAGTTTCATAGCATTAATAGGTCAGCTTTTCAAAACTTGTATCATTTACCTCCTAAGTTACGGTAAATAAGAAAAATCTTAAAATCTCTCAGACACGGACGAGCTATCCGCATCGTCGAGTCTTAATTCTAATAAGCTTGGGTTCAAACGTTGGTAGGATGATACATCATCATCCATGCCTATTCTTCATGCTCATAGGAACGCTGTACATCGTATTCTTATACTAGCTCGGAAAAATCTTGGGGTTTTCCATTATTTAATAAACGTGCGAGACTTGCGTATTCTCACACTATTCAGTCGAAAGTTAATTAAATAAGGGCAGCTGTCATACCCTAAAATTTCCCCACCCTTATCTTATATTTGAGTTTCTGATTCAATAAAATGCACTATCTAGTTCGTATTTTCTATGAGTGGTGTTTAAAGACAAAGGGGGTTGTGTTGAGGAAAAATGGACAATTAATATTTGATAGCCCCTTAGATTTCTAGAGGTCCATTACAAAAGGGGGGGGGGGGGGGGGGGGGGGGGGGGGGGGGGGGGGGGGGTTATTTGTTTTAAAGGGATATGAACCAAACACTTTTTTAAGGCCCATTAGATTTTTTTTGTAAGGCCTGCTTCAAGTTTAAAAGAGGGCTCAAATTTGTTTGGGTTAGGGGCCCATTAAAATCTCATTTTTTTGGTGTACAAAAAACAATTCCTTTTTTTAGACCCGATAGTAAGACCCTTCTTATTTTCTATTTTTATTAAGCATTGCCATTCTTTCTATACTTACTTTTATTAATTATCATTATTATCTTCATAATTGATTATTATTAGTATTATTATTTTAACATTAACATTATTATTACTATTATTTTTTCTTACTGTTATTAACTTTACTATTTTTAAATTAAAACATGATATTAAAAAAAGCTTAATTAAAAAGGTGTTGTTCATGTTTTAATAAATAAAAGTGTTGATGAAGAGTTTTTGCTCTTTTCCTCAGTCCATTTCCAAACCCGGAATTCAGGCCCAAACATTGCTGGTCAAATAAAAGCAAAAATAAAGCGCATGGCCCAATTCAATAAGGAACGCATGTTGTTATTTTTATCACAGGTACTGTACGAATAAAAAAAGCAACGCAAGTTTTTTATTGTACGAATCGTAACTAATAAACACATATCCGTGCATTCACTTCCATCCAGAAACAGAAAAGTCAAATCAATATTAAATCCAGAAACAAAATCAATTACAGAAACAGAAACATTTCTACAGATTACCTAAATTATCAACAAAAGGTTCAAAATATTTCCTAAGGCATAAAACCCAATAAATTCTAAGAATTAATTTACTGACACATTTCATTGTTTTCAAAACCAATTTACAGATAAATTTATATATTTCCTAATTTATAACACCTAAGAGCTATAAAATCAAAACAAAATGGGAGGAAAAAGGACGGACAAAAACAGCATAAGGAGAGAATTACATAAAAAAACTCACAAACTTCTAAATCTCTTTCCAATCTAAGTTCAAAGCAGGAACAATTTGTAACTCGATCTCAGACCAGTTCATCAAAACTATATCCTGCAAATTAATCAACAATTTTTTTCCAGCTCAGATGAACACACCATTTTCTTTTAAATCATAACAAAAACATGTAAATATTCACAGAAATTAACATTAACTAACACCACCATTATTGTTTGTAGTATTTTGTTTTACAGGAAAAATGCAAGGTAGAAGGAAACAACTCGCGAGGTCATTCTTCGCCTCTGTACACCGTTGACATATCTCTCAATGCATCAATGAAGCACCGCTCCATCCGACCTCCGCCATCGGCCTCCCTGTGCGTAACCGCCGGACCCTTCGCATCTCGCCACTGTCAAACTACATCCACGCATGGCCCACCGTCATTCCACTCGATGCAACCGCACATCTGTCATCGATCTCCAGCATCGCGAATCGTGGCTTGATCCGTTGTTCTCATCCCACACCCTATCGCGAGACCACTCCCTCCGCCGAACTCACTGTGAGACCGTCCTACACGCCGACCACTCGAACACCTTCGATTCCCCTGTTCCAGCTGCAAACCGCCACGATATAGTAGATCTGGCCACGCCTCTTCCTAGATCCACCACCGAGAAAGTATTTATTTATGGTGTCTTAGATCAATGTTGACCATGTTGTTGTTACTGTAAAGAGAGAAAGCATGGTAACAAAAGAAAATTCAAAAACTTGTACATAATTCAAAATTCAAAAATTAAAGCATTTCATAATAATAGGATGTCAACCTTTAAGTAATTAAATCGGTATACACATCGTCTATCGGTTTATTATTTGAACATCAAAATATTAAAACCTACACGATTCACCAAATTATTACATCTGCAAGCGACACGTGGCCAATATATGGCCACGTGATGAGGAGGCTATATCAGACTCCTTTGCTCTGCGTATAAATAAAACTCAAACAAACATTAAACTATTTTCCGTAATAAATTAATTCAACATTTTTTTTCTAAAAAAGGAATGCGAATGTATTTAAGTTAACTGCGTACTTGGTCTAACAAACTCTGCTTATTCATACTCTTAGACCACATATGCGGGAAATTCAAAATATATTTCGCAATCCATAAAAAACACAAATCAAACACCGCGAACTACGAAATAGGACTCTGATTCCTCCCAAGATGATACGTAGGCATACGATCAAAAATCGTGGCGAGTCCCAGTAACTAAAATTCAAACCCTTTTTCCTGCTAACTAAAATTCAAACCCTTTTTCCCGCTAACTAAAATTCAACCCCTTTTTCCGCTAACTAAAACTCAAATCCTTTTTCCCGCTAACTAAAATTAAAACCCTTTTTCCCACTAACTAGAACTCAAACCTCTTTTCCCCAATAATTATATAAAACCCTATTTCCTAAAAAATGTGCTTCTAAACCTAGTATCTTTATGAACAAGGTAGATAAAGGGTTCCTACCACCTTCCCCTCGTCTAGAAACGAGTCCAAATCTAGAATCTCTGAACTTCAGGGTTATTCCTTTATACTTCCTTCAATTAGGATAAAAATTAAGGGTGGTGACTCTGATTAAAAAACCAGTTACAACCGATTGCTGATGTTTGATGAAAACCCTGTGATTATATGATGTTTTAGACCTATAATATGTATAAATAACAAGATTGGTATTGGTTTTTATGCAGGAAATCACAATAGAAAAACCCTGTTAACGCAGGATCGCCAGGCGATGAAGTATTGTCGCTGGTCGATGATGGCACCACTTGGCCGTAGAAAGCCCTATGATGCCCTAGTTTATAAAGGGAAACAAAAGGCTTATGGTGGGAACAAGACAAGTGGGTGAGGAGATCCAACTTCTATCAAATGTTATAGGTATTGTGAATAAGGTCACTGATCTAATGAGTGTGAGAATAAGGTGCTAAGGTGCTACAAGTGTGGTAAGTCAGGTCATCGTGTTCCTGAATGCAAGAAAGATGGTTCGACTTGTTTCGAGCAGGTTTATATCAGTACCCAATGTCAGAAACTATGGAAGGATGTTACTGCTCAGACCAATGGTAGGGTATTCGCGCTGAGTGGATCTGAGGAATCTAACAAGGGAAACTTGATTTAAGGTACTTGCTTTATTACTGATGTTGAATTGGTTTCTATTATTAATATTGGTGCTACTCATTCATTTATTTCGCTTGAATGTGCTATTAAGTTGGAATTGAAATTGTCTGGTATGAATAATAGTATGGTAATAGATACTCCTGCTAGTGGTTTTGTTACTACTACTTATGTTTGTCCGAAATGTCCCTTGACTATCTTTGGCAAGATTTTTGTGATGGATTTGGTGTGTCTACCCTTACACCAAATCGATGTTATCCTTGGGATGAACTAGTTGGAGTTCAACTATGTTCATATCAATTGTTATAATAAAACTTTGAGGTTCTCTATGTTTGGTGATAATGGAGAATTTATGTTGTTGACCTCTATGAAAGTGAATGAAATTTTAGAATATGAAGCCTTAATGTTTGTAATGTTTGCATTATTGCAAGTTGATGGTAAATATGCGAATATGGAATTATTGATTGTATGTGAATTCCTAGAGGTGTTTCTAGATGACATCAGTAATTTACCTCCTGAATGTGAAGTGGAGTTTTCTATAGATTTAGTGCCAGGTACGAGTTCGATATCGATGGCTCCTTACAAGATGTTGGCTTCCAAGTTGAGCGAGTTGAAGAAACAATTGGAAGAGATACTCGAGAAGAAGTTTGTTCGACCAAGTGTTTCACCTTGGGAGGATCCAGTGTTACTAGTTAAGAAGAAAGATGGAAGTATGAGGATGTGTATAAATTACAGACAGTTGAATAAAGTGACAATTAAGAATAAGTATCCACTACCGAGAATTGATTATTTGGATCAGTTAGTGGTGGCGTATGTTTTCAACAAGATTGATTTGAGGTCGGGTTATCATCAAATTCGTGTTAAACCAGATGACTTTCCAAAGACGGCTTTTCGAACGAGGTATGGTCATTATGAGTACACTGTGATGCCGTTTGGTGTGTCTAATGCGCCAGGTGTTTTCATGAAGTATATGAATCAAACTTTTCATTCATATTTGGATAAGTTTGTCATGGTGTTCATCTACGATATTCTAATATATTCTAAATCGGAAGAAGAACATTTCGAGCATTTGAGGATTGTGTTGCAAGTGTTGATAGAGAATAAGTTGTATGCCAAGCTGTCAAAGTGTGAGTTTTGGTTTAAGGAAGTGAGATTTTAGGCCATGCGATTTATGGTGGAGGGATAGTTATGGATCCTTCTAAAGTTGATGCAATATTGCATGGGAGACTCTGAAGTCTGCGACTGAGGTTTGAAGTTTTCTTGGGTTGGTTGGTTATTATCGAAGATTCATTGAAGGATTTTCTAAGTTATCATTGTCGTTGACTCAGTTGAATCTAAAAGGTCAGGCTTATGTGTGGGATGTTACGTGTGAAGAAAGCTTTGTAGAGTTGAAGAGGAAGTTGATGACTGCTTCAGTATTGATTTTTCCGAATGCTAATGAATCTTTTGAAGTGTATTGCGATGCGTCTAAGATGGGTCTTGGAAGTTTCCTGATGCAAAACAGGCAAGTTGTTGCTTATGCTTCTAGGCGATTTAAGATTCATGAAAGGAATTATACTATGTATGACTGTTTACCGTGGTTATTGGTAAACAACCGCTGATCCTCCAAATGGTTACTTATTTGGTTACTCGCAGGATCGATCAGATTGATCCTAGGACATAGGTTGATTTTGAGGTTTTGACTAAATTGGATAATGGTTAAATGACAATAAAATAAAGAGGCTTTAAGTAAATTGCATGAAGAAGTAGGCTTGGTAAAATAAATGAAGGCTTAAAGTAAAGGATTTCGACGGGAAAGTAAAGAAGAAAGCAAGTAAATTTCTGGAAAAGTAAATGACTTTGATTAATAAAGTTGGTGTTTCACACATACATTTCTCAACAATTCTTTCTCACACGCTGGGTACTCGAATCTATATGAGTGACTTTGTATATTATTGTGAACACACGCGAGAATCTGCGTGAACTACTACTATTTATACTAAAACATCCCAAGTAACCGTCGGGCAGTTACACTGCTTCGAGATGATCCCACTTGGCACGTTCTCAACGTTCGACGCTCCAGATCTTTGCACGTTACACCTGATAACCGCTGGAAACCGTTTTCCCTCCAAACGCTTGAATTTCAAACCGCTCCACTCTGAACCATCGAACACCTTCGTCGAGAGGAATCTTCGACGAGAAACAACTTCGACGTCGAAGGCAACTAACTTCTCCTTTGGAAGAAATCTTCTAAGTACAGTGCCATCTTTCGATGGGCATTTCGACAGACCCAGCTGATCGAAAACAACCTTCAGCTTTAATGGCTGACATTAATGAACAAGGGTGTCGAATTTAAGAGCCAACAAATTGCCCCCCAAGAATGCCTTATTTCGACTCTGAAAGAAAAAGGCATTCTTTGAAATACCATTCGACACCTGTCTTTCCATTTTTAGTCACAATTTAAATTGTGCACTTTTTGTTATCTTCTACCAACCACTGACAATCCCAAGAAAAACTATCATTTATCCGTACCTAAGACGTCACCTCAGTACGGCGTGCAGTGTGCCAAACGTCATTTCACAAATTGTCATCATGACAATTCCAAAAAACGAGGGCGCACGCTGCACCCCTCTATTTCTGCAGAACGACTAAAACAACAGGGAGCCGCCACGTGTCCCATTACCTTCTGCAACATTAAATGGCATTTAATGTCCTCGATTTTGGGGATTTTCCCCCACTACTATAAATAGCAGTAAGTACCCATTGTGGGACTTTTTACGCAACCTTGCTTTCAGAATTCCTCATTTGCATTCAAACTTGTCAACTTTGCAAACCTCTTTTCCTTCACTTCGTCTTCAACCTCACTACCAACAATGGCATCTGGCTCTTCTAATGCTCCTAGCGCCAACGCACCATCTGGGAACGTCAAACCTAGGGTTTTCGCCACCGCTCCAGTAGTAACTCCCACGGGCCAACGAAGGGTCCCTGAACCTTTGGATATCGCTGTACGCGATGCTTACTCACGCCACCTTATGATTCCGGTTGGATATTCCAACCAGATCTTTGCTATGTCTGGTCCATTGTACCCAAGCATTGCTGAGGTCATGAAGATCAAGAGTTATTTTCCGGTAGTTGAGAGACTTAAACCGGTTGCATGCTCCAAGAAAGATGCTGAGGATAATGAAGACCCTGCTAAAGAGAAAATTGACCTCCGTTTCTTCAACAAAGGTGTTAGGGCTTTCAGGTCTGGCCCTAGCCTTACTCCTGATTACAGTGCTTGGCTGGAAAAAATGGAGAAACACCAAGCTTCGATCTGGAAAGACATGGGGATTTTCGACCTGGTCATGCTGTCGAAGACAGGTCTTAATTATTCCCCAGAGATGTTGATAGCTTCTCTCCTCTTCTGGGACTACACCCATTTCACCTTCCATCTTCCCTGTGGAATGCTGACTCCCACACTCTTCGATGTGGCCGCCATCACTGGCCTTCGACCCACCGGGGACTATTTCGACCCGGAAGAAATGTCGGAGGATCAAATTAGATTCTCTGCCATAAAACCAACCTACACCACCTTC